TGCTGCTCGCTGTCGCTTAGACTACGCTGCTAGTCTTGTCGCTGAGTCTGAGTCTGTCTGTCCTCCGTCCGTCGGGGGTGAGTGTGCCCTTGGCACGGACGTCCTTGAGGACAGGCAGGAGGAGTTCCAGTGTCTGGCAGCTGCCTCACCTCATCTCGTGTCCGTACTGCTTACCCCTGAGGGAGACCCGGATGCACTTGACATCCCGACTCCGCGCTCTTACGCGGAGGCGATAGAGGGTCCCTACTCCTCTCAGTGGCAGGCAGCTATGGATGCAGAGATGGCTTCCTGGAAGTCCACAGGCACCTACGTTGACGCTGTCCCCCCTCCTGGGGCGAACATCGTCAGTGGCATGTGGATCTTCAGGGTGAAGCGGCCGCCGGGTTCTCCGCCTGTCTTCAAGGCGCGTTACGTGGCTCGTGGCTTCAGTCAGCGGCAGGGAGTTGACTACTTTCAGACCTTCTCCCCCACCCCGAAGATGACCACTCTTCGGGTACTGCTGCACGTTGCTGCTCACCGTGACTACGAGCTGCACTCTCTTGACTTCAGCACAGCTTTCTTGCAGGGCAGCCTGCACGAGGAGATCTGGCTGCGTCGCCCACCTGGCTTCACTGGGTCTTTCCCTCCTGGTACCCAGTGGAGTCTCCGGCGTCCAGTCTACGGTCTCCGCCAGGCGCCACGTGAGTGGCACGACACACTGAGGACTACGCTTGCGGCTCTTGGGTTTGCTCCTTCTACTGCCGACCCGTCGCTGTTTCTACGCACCGACACCTCTCTGCCGCCGTTCTACATCCTCGTGTACGTCGACGACTTGGTCTTTGCCACAGCTGACACTGCTGGACTCGCCTACGTGAAGTCCGAGCTGCAGAAGAGACACACGTGCACAGACCTGGGTGAACTGCGCAGCTACCTTGGCTTGCAGATCACCCGGGACAGAGCACGCCGCACCATTACCCTGACTCAGTCACACATGGTGCAGCAGGTCCTTCAGCGCTTCGGCTTCACGTACTCCTCGCCTCAGGCCACTCCTCTGTCTACTCGCCACTCGCTCTCAGCTCTGCCTTCGGATGAGTCCGTAGAGTCGAGTGGCCCGTACCCAGAGCTTGTTGGCTGCCTCATGTACCTGATGACCTGCACACGACCTGACCTTGCATACCCTCTTAGCATTCTTGCACGCTATGTTGCTCCTGGGAGACACAGACCAGAGCACATGGCAGCAGCGAAGAGGGTGTTGCGCTACTTGTGCAGTACGTCGGGCATGGGGCTAGTGCTTGGAGGGCGGAGTCCAGTGGTCCTCACTGGGCACGCGGACGCTTCTTGGGCTGACGACCAGGCTACGCAGCGGTCGTCACAGGGTTACACCTTCAGCCTTGGTTCCGGCTCTGTTTCGTGGCGGGCTACTCGCTCGTCTTCTGTTCTTGGCTCGAGTTGTGAGGCTGAGATCTACGCCGGGGCCATGGCTGCACAGGAGCTTCGCTGGCTCACCTACCTGCTGACCGACCTTGGAGAGCCGCCTCGTTCTCCTCCAGTCCTGTACGTAGACAACAAGGCCATGCTGGCCTTGTGTCGAGAGCAGCGACTGGAGCACAGAACAAAGCACATTGCTCTCCGCTACTTCCTTGCTCGTGAGCTACAGCAACGTGGACAGTTGCGGCTTGCGTACGTGGCCTCTGAGGCCAACACTGCTGATGTCTTCACCAAGGCACTTCCGCCTTGTGATCATCAGCGCTTCTGCACTCAGCTGGGTCTTGTGCCCGTCTTGCCTCACTTGCTCTCCTCTTGACCTTGCTTGTACTCTCACATATATATATACCTGCTCTTGCTTGTCTAGCTTTATATATATGTGTGTACTCTTGCATGTGAACTGGCAGTGTGGCCTTGACCCTGTGATCGGACTGTGTGGTGACTTTGTGATCCACCCTGAGCTTGCTTTGCTTTGCTTTGCTTGACTGGTCTTGTGACCCCTTGTTCTCCCCCACTTTGCCTATGGGGGTGTGTCAGAACATTATAGCTTATGCTGTTGTGTAGGCTATAGTGGGGTATCCCATAGGGGGTACAACCAATTAGGGTTTCATATTTGTACTCGCTTCATTTTCATAGTTCACCCATTCTCGTTCTCATTTTCACATCTAGCTTGCCGTTTGCGAGCCACCTCGTTAACTGGCGCGCCACTAGTTGTGATAGAATCAACCCATTGTGAGGCCGGAGTAGCCAAAAGCAGGCCTGTCTCGTTGTCGTCGAGTTGCTTCCACTGCATAAAGGCAATAATCTACTATAACATAAGCAGTAGTAGCAGCTGTCATTACTGCCAGCTGAGAATTGTCTCTACTGAAGAGTTGTATTTTCCAAAACCCTTGTGTGATTATGTAGCTGCGTTGGTTGTTCGGAAACCGATGTAGTGATGGAACCTTTACCCACGATTGGTTGTGTTTTTGGGCGAGAAGTTTTGAACGTGGGCAGGTTTTGCAGAACGTGCAGCCGTCTTCATTGCACGTTCGCACCTAATCAAGCACAATGCCTGGACAGAGTTGAATTGTGCCACGATTGCACAGCTGTACAGTTGACGTGCTCCTAGTCACACGAACCCCAAACCGTAAAAACCCAAAGTGTCCCGACCTCAAACCGCGTGGCTGAACATTGAAATGTCAAAATTGAAATTGTGCACCGTGTGTCCCAACTTCGGATGGTGTCCGGGCCAGGAATGCGACTTCACACACCGTGCTCCATCTGTCCTTTACTAACTCACACACCGTGCTCCATCTGTCCTTTACCAACTCACACACCGTGCTCCATCTGGCCTTTACCAACTCACACACCGTGCTCCATATGTCCTTTACTAACTCACACACCGTGCTCCATCTCGCCTTTACTAACTCACACACCGTGCTCCTTTACTAGCTCACACACCGTGCTCCATCTGTCCTTTACTAGCTCACACAACGTGCTCCATCTGTCCTTTACTAGCTCACACACCGTGCTCCATCTGGCCTTTACTAGCTCACACACCGTGCTCCATCTGTCCTTTACCAACTCACACACCGTGCTCCATCTGGACTTTACCAACTCACACACCGTGCTCCATCTGGACTTTACTAACTCACACACCGTGCTCCATCTGTCCTTTACTAACTCACACACCGTGCTCCATCTGTCCTTTACTAACTCACACACCGTGCTCCATCTGGCCTTTACTAGCTCACACACCGTGCTCCATCTGTCCTTTACTAGCTCACACACCGTGCTCCATCTGTCCTTTACTAGCTCACACACCGTGCTCCATCTGGCCTTTACTAGCTCACACACCGTGCTCCATCTTGCCTTTACTAACTCACACACCGTGCTCCATCTGGCCTTTACTAACTCACACACCGTGCTACATCTGTCCTTTCCCCCCCCGTGCCCTCTCCCTCACGCTGTCGTTCGCACACTCCAATTTCCCCTAGCTCACTATGTCATCCATTCACTCTCCTCCCGTGCCCTTTCTTTGTCCTCCAGGGTTTAGGTCCTTCGCTCAACCCACCTTGCCCTCAGCCTCACCTTAGCCTTGCGCCCCACGTCTGAATCATTCGCGTCCCCACCACTCTCATTCCGTCGCTTGAGAAGAGCAATCAGTGATCATGTGCGTCAGATCAGTCTTACGACTACGTTTGGTGACACTGACAGTCATGAATTGCGCACATGGGTCCATCTACAGTAGCAACTACTATTATGAGGTAGGTGTTTGTGTTCTGTCGGTCTGAGCTGCCAACCACACACACGGGGTGGTAGTGGTACGGTATGGCCTCCATACAATGAAATAAATTTCATTTCAGGTCCGACATGAGACCGTAAGGGGCTTTATGCAAAGATATGTTGATGTACCCCCCCATATCCCGTGCATCTGAACGTGGCTGGCAACTGACCGGGTTATGGCTCGTCTTTGAACACAGTTGGGTGCAGCCTAAAATGAGGGGATTGTTAGTAGTCTCTACTCTATTTCGACGTCAACAGAGTGGCAGTCATGTTGGCCAACTAGTGATAGAGGCACTAAAAGCATAATAGTACGCCCTCCACATATAAGGTTTTCAGTATAGTCGGTGTACCGGCTACTGGTCAGCGTATGGGAGGCATATACTTGGGATCTTTGCACCGACATATTAGGAATATGGCACAAAGAACTGAAATCTGTATAGGGGGGTGTTCTTGACTCAGTGACACCCTAATCCGCACAACCATGAAGTGGGTTGGATATCACTTGAGGTGCTGGGAGGTGTTGTTGAAAAGGTACTGATGGGGGGAGAGATGGATAGAGAAAGCAATGATTAGCAAAACAAGAAACATGAACCCGCAGTACACGCACGGACAGTGCACACCCACTGTGGGGACGGACCATCAAGGTTCCCCCCAGTGAGCATAGAAATCAGCCCTATCTCACCATCTGCTTGTGCATGTCCAGTCCCTCGCGCCCAAAGAGGTGTTGCATGCGCAGGACAGCACGCACAACTCTCAAGCGATCTCACAGGAACGAGTGCAGCAGCAGCAGCCGCATCCCCGGCCCCCCTTTGCCCCACGCCCCCCCACCCCCCTTACTGCCTTACGCCTCCCCCCTCCATATCCCCCTCCTCCGCGCCCCCCTTGGCCGCGGAATGTGTAGGGGGGGGAGGAATGGTGGAGAGTGCGGAGCAAGTGGAAGAGGAATAGAAACATGTGTTCTCTCACTTGCATTCCTACCCTACCTCCCCTCCCCACCCCCGCGACCTTTGCATCCCCCCCCCCCCTCCCCCTCCCCCCCCCCCCCCCCACCGCTCCGCCCCAACTTCTTCACCATCAGCCGTGCCGTGCTCTCGTCTTGCCGTGTTCCTCGTTCACAGATGTGCCTCACCTCCCCTTCCCCATCCCCTCTGCTCCGCACCCGCCGCTTCATATCAGGTCAGATGATTCCTTTTTCACTGCCATCTGCGCATTCGTCTTGCTGCGGTCCCCGTTGACCCGTTCAAACACGTCCATCGCCTCTCTTCCCCTCACAGCTCTTCTTCTATCACACTGCACGCTTGTCTCACCTTCTTGATCGCCAGCTGTGCATTGGTTCTGTGGAGGTCCCCGTTGACCCGCTCAACCAAGTCCAGCGCCTGTTCCGCTCCCTCACTTCCGTCTCGTGCGCTGGGGGGGAAGGAAGGGGGGGGGGAGAAAGGGGGGGGAGGAAGGGGGGGGAGGAAGGGGGGGGAGGAATCTGGGGGAGGAAGGGGGGGGGAGGAATCTGGGGGAGAAAGGTAGTAAGTGTGGAAGGGATGAGAGAGGGGAGGACAGATTAGAGAGGGGAGGAGGGATGAAAGAGGGGAGGACGGGATGAGAGAGGGCAGGACGGGATGAGAGAAGGAAGGAGGGGAGGAGAGAGGGGACGGGATGAGAGAAGAAAGGAGGGGATGAGAGGGGAGAGGACGGGATGAGAGAGGGGAGGGCGGGATGGGACAAGGAAGGAGGGGATGAGAGAGGGGAGGACGGGATGAGAGAGGGGAGGAGGGGATGAGAGAGGGGAGGAGGGGATGAGAGAGGAGAGGACGGGATGAGAGAGGGGAGGAGGGGATGAGAGAGGGGAGGAGGGGATGAGAGAGGGGAGGAGGGGATGAGAGAGGGGAGGAGGGGATGAGAGAGGAGAGGACGGGATGAGAGAGGGGAGGAGGGGATGAGAGAGGGGAGGAGGGGATGAGAGAGGAGAGGACGGGATGAGAGAGGGGAGGACGGGATGAGAGAGGGGAGGACGGGATGAGAGAAGGAAGGAGGGGAGGAGTGAGGGGATGGGAGAAGGAAGGAGGGGATGAGAGAGGGGAAGAGGGGATGAGAGAGGGGAGGAGAGGATGAGAGAAGGGAGGACGTGATTTTTTTTTTTTTTTTTTTTTAGATGCTTAAATACATTACAAGAAAGCAATGAATAAACATCGTCAGTCGTAACTGTGTAGTTAGGGGAGGGCCATGGCAACAGATACCACAGGTCCCCTTGCCCAACCTATGGCGGTTGATGTGTCAGCTTCGGGTTGTCCCAGAGAGAGCTGAAGCATATCCTCCACGTCAGCGGTGCAGCCTTGCTGCAGATCCTTTTTATAACCTCTGCCTCGTCTGTTTCCAGATGTGCCCACGTGTCTCCGTTTACCGCCACACCCCGCTTCCTAGCCGCGATTTCTCTCGCCAAACAGTACACCCGTGCATGCGCGACAAAATTCACCACCACTCGCCGCATCACCCGTTTCGTCTGAAATCGAATGCTGTGGAGGCTCGCATCACACCTTGCCAACCAGACTTGGTGAAGTGCGGTGGCGATGAAAGAACTTTCTGGAAACCCTGACTTCGTGCTCCTCTGCATGAACAGAAGGTCCTCCAGGTCCTCCCAGCGCTTCCCCGGGTTCATCACCATCAACCCACTCTTCAAGAAATCCACCACCTTTTGTATCGCCGGGCAGCCAAGCAGGCAGTGCTCCGGTGTCTCCTCCCGTTTGCAGTGTGGGCAGACCACATTGTAACGCAGAAACTGCAGCCTCGTGCCCACTTGCAGGTTTCTACAGTGTAGCCTTAGCAGAACATCTCGTGCCCGGGCAGGCGTGGCAAGGGAGTCCCTCTGCCTGATGACCCCTTCCCATTCAATCACCGCACCTTGCCCCTCCCATCTCCTCTGCCCTCTCGCCGTGCCAGCCGAGCTCTGCAGAGCCCTTCTGACCTCCCTGAGTGGCACCACTGCTCCGTCTTTGCACAGCTGCGTTTGTAATAGCTTCGTCCGCGCTTCTCCCATCAGCCCGAGCACCTTGTCTCCGTGTGTCGCCACCGGCTCAAACAAGCTGCTCTGGGGGTTCAGATTAACCGCTAGGTTAGCCCCGTCGCATACGCTGTATACTCCCGCATCGTCGACCTGACACAACCTCCCCGTGACCGTCGACCCTGTCGTCCCGCACACCTTCCAGTACGAGGGTAACGCAGGCACCCTTCCTTGAGTTCGCAGCATGGGTACCGCCGCCACCACCCCTTCTCCCGTTGGGGCGGCCAGTAGCAGTTCCTTCCACTCTTGCGGGGCTGCGTCGAAGGCCTTGAGTGCCCACTTCGCCTCTTCTTCGCCGCCCATCTCCACCGTCAGCGTCTCCAGGCTTTTCAGCGCATACCCGCCGCTGAGCTTTTCCCAGTTCACGTCGCCCAACCTCATATCCCACAGGCAGACCAACCCCTTTTGGTTCCCGAACGGGCTTGCCCCCCGGAATGGTATTCGGCGGTTGAAAATTAATCGCTCCTTCGCTACTTCCCATCTTGTTTTTGGCTCCGGCGGCTTACTGAAGGGGGTTTCCCAGAATGCTTGAAACATCTCCTTCCATCTTCTGCTTCCCTTTTCCTAGTGCCGTAGCAGGGACTTGTGTGCGAATTATTCACTACATCGTTACAAACTCTGCACCACCATGGCTCCAGAAGGAAAAGCCACTGCAGACTCTCCGGGCCCACCACCAGCAACACCCACTGCACCATCAGCGGTGACTTCCGTCAGCGCCGCTCTCGTTGAGCAGCTGGTCGCCCGCATCAACGCTCTTGAGAGCCATCAAGCCATGAGAATTGATGGCTCAAGCTATGCACGTGGAGTTGCTGGACTCCCTCTCCCTGGAGAAGACCGCCGCGTCAACTCCGAGAGATCTTTCACGTTTGACAATCGTCAAGCCTCAGCTCCTGCGCAAGACAGTCAACAACGCGCACACTCAGACACGATTGCAACAATGCAAACAAAATTCGTCCTGACATCGAAGCTGAAAACATCAGTTCCTTTCGATGGAAAGGACTTCTACACGTGGAGCTTCGAGTTCGAGCTCCTCGCGACAACCGCGCAAATCTGGATGTACTACAACGGAAGCTTGAAGTTTCCAACGGAGGGCACCATTCAAGAGAAGAATCAGTACTACCACGAGTCTCTTCTCGCGTACACCACTCTCCTCCGAAATCTCACTCCTGCCGAACAGCTTGGCATTCACTCCTACAAATCAGAGTGGGCACCCGCATACTCTTCTTGGGAGCACCTGCGCAACTCATACATGGCAACGGATCCCGTTACCATGAGTCGCCTACTCAGTCAGCTCACATCGGTCAAAATGCAACAAGGGGAAAAGGCGGGACCTTACATAAATCGGTGCCGCAATCTGCGCGATCACATCAGGAAGTGCGGCGGATCCGTCCCAGACGACATGTTCGTCTCGATGGTCCTCTCCGGCCTCAAACCTGACTGGCGTCAATGCCAATCCTTGCTCCGCGCTCGAGCAACCGTTTCCGAATCGGCCCTGTGCGCCACTCTTATCTCCGAACAAAAGGAGATCGACCTGTACAACGAGAAGAACACCAAACGGGAGAAGTTAGTCTTCTACGTCGGAGCCACTGAAGGGGAGCAGCACGGAAAGAAAGGAACTTTCTGCAAGTACTGCAAGAAGCCTGGGCACACTATCGATCGGTGCTACAAGCGAAAGGCCGCCGACGAAAGGCGCAATAACCCTTCAAGCCTTCAATCCTCAACGGCTTCAATCTCCTCCGCCGCAACAACCACCGTTTCGCCTCCCTCCGTCGCAAGCACCTCGCAGACACCTGCACGCATTACGACCAAGGACAAAGGCAAGGGGACAATCATGAGCTGCATGGCTCGCCGCAATAGAGGATTTCGATACTACGATCGAGTAACGTTCGCGGTTGACGACCCCATCAACCCTGTTGCATTCAGGCAAGACAACGATCCCACCATCCCTACCTGGTCCGATGACCCACAAAGGTACCCTTCTGATTTCGAGTTGCCGCCACCGACACCAGAATCGCCTCCCAGCATCTCGGCAAACAGGTACTTCGCTCTCTCGCCATACACTGGCGAAATGGATCGCGTGGTTACGCCGAAAATCGCCAACATCGCGCGACAGAGCCGCAAGAACATTAAGACCTGGTACCTGGACAGTTGCTGCGGACAGCACATGGTGGGATCGCCAACGTTCATCAGCAACTCCAAACGCATGCGTCGACCCTGCGAGATCACGGTAGCAAACAACGGCACACTCAAAGCATACGACATCGGTGAAATCTTCCTCGAAGCCGACGACACAAGGTTCACAATTCACATTGGTGACGTGCTCGTCGCTCCAGATCTTCGGTACAACCTGCTTTCCTCGGCTCAGCTCATGCGGTGCGGAGTCGACATTCGAAGCAATCGCAAAGACAAGACCTTCGAACTCTTCTACAACAACTCTTACATCGGCAAGGCGGTTGATGATGACGGGGTCTTCATACTGCAGTTCTCAGCTCAGGGTACCACCGGAGATTCTCACCGCACCTTGCTACTGAAGACGACTCCTTCAGAGACACCAACTTGGTCGCATCCCACGGAAATGGATCTCGAGCGTCCCGCCTCGGACGGCCTTCTACGACTGCGCACCGTTCCGACTGCCTCAACCTCCAACCCAGCTAAGACTGGACCTGCATCAATGGAAGAGGACAGCGGCACGTCAGCACCTGCGGAACCAGTCACTGAAGAAAGCGAGAAGACTGGAACTCGTTCAGGCAGTCCCGGCCCTGCACTTGGTCCCTTGGGAGAAGTCCTGACGCCAGAAGAAGCAGCGGCAGAAGGACGGGACACTATCTCGGCATCCGAAGACGCCACCACTGCTCCAACAGACGCTGGCGCTGGGGAACTTCAACAAGCGAAGGAGGATGGGGGCAAGCTACCCCTGCCTATCCCGAAGCTCCGGGACTTCCCGCAGCGGAAACCGCAGCGATCGATCCCTACTGGGCAACACGTGGCACCAACTGGGGTGGACCTCCTCTTCCGGACCAGTATGCCCCTGACACACCAGAACCAATGGAAGAAGAGTCAGAAGAAGAAGTAACCTATGAACTCTTCGGCGAAGCAGCAGAACTACCAGAACCTACCGAGGAGCCGGAGCCGCCAGAACAAGGACCACAAGAAATTGAGGTCATCGGCGCCGAGTACAGTTTCTTCCGAATTCCCATGAAGGGACTCCCAGTCCGCGACTGGCCCAACCAGTGCCTGCTTGTAACCGGAGATCAAGTTGACGCCGGCGACACCGACGACATCATCGGGATTCCACACGCGCTTCTGGAACGGAAGTCAATCCACGCGTTCGCCGCCGACGCCGACGACGCCGCCGATGCAGGACCTGAAGGAGGCAACCGACGAAGCAGCAAGAAACAAGTATTATCAGAAAGCGGTCGGCTACCGCGCGGAACCAGAAATCTGGCATCAACGGCTCGGGCACCCTTCTCACGCAACACTCAAAAACTCCCTGCGGGCTGGCGTCCTCGATGACGGAGCACTACTCCTTCCCCGCGGAGGCTCCCTCACCATAGACTCCGAAGACCCGCCATGCACAGTGTGTCCTGCTGCGTCACTCACCCACAAGCCCTTCCCCGACCTGCCGCCCGGTTACGAACGCTACAAACCACTCGACAAGGTTTACAGCGACTTCGTGTGCTTGACGAAGGACGGACTCGACGGCGAATCCTACACGCTTACCTTCATCGACGCAAGCACTCGCTACGTCTGGGCCGTTAATACTGACTGCAGGTCACTCGCTTTCGAGTGCTTCATCGCGTGGATGAAGCGGGCTGAACGACAATCAGGGCTTAACCTGAAGAGCTGGCAGACGGACGGAGCCCTGGAGTTTTTCTCACATGAATTCAAGGAGCTCTTCAGGCAGAAAGGAATTGAACACCTGGTGTCCCTGCCCTATGCTCACGAGCAGCAAGGAGTAGCAGAACGGACAAACAGGAGTCTGTCACGATAGCGTGATAGCGTCTTAGTTAGGAAACGGGTTTGACTTACGGCCTAGGCTTAGGAGCCTAGGCCAAGCGGGTGTCGAGTTGGATGTGCAAGGGAGAATCTAGAAAGAGTGGTTTCACTATAGAATGTGAAGAACATATAGTGAACAAAAGGTGCACCACCAACAGCAATGCACTATAACTACACTACAGCTACAGCTACAGGCAGTTGTACAGATATTATATAAAGTATATAATCTAACACACCCCCTAACTGCCTGAAGCAGGAACCAAGTGCAGGAAACACCCCCTGAATGGGTATAGCTGGCGCAGTGGACGACGTCAGAGAGGTAAGTGAGGAGGAGGAGGCGAGAGGGAGAGAGGAGAGGAGAGGAGAGAAGTACCAAGGAGGAGGTGAGAGAGAGAGGGATGAGGAGAGGAGGTGAGGGGGAGCCACCCGGGCGAAACCCTCTTACTAACCCCCTTTTACAAAGGGGGAGGTGAGAGAGTGATGAGGAGAGGAGGTGGGGGAGAGCCAAGCGCGGCGAAACCCCTCTTACTAACCCCCAGATCCCCACACCCATTCAACCACCCCCCTTAACCTCACCCCCCATTTCAGCCGCCCCTTGGAACCGCACCCCCTCCCCCCCTTCCTTCCTCCAAACTCCTCCCCACCCACGGTAGGCCCTGCAGAATCCACTGGCCGCCACCCCCTCAATCCCCCCCCTCAACGGCAGAAGCGGGAGTGAGCGAGAGGAAGAGGAGGCGGCAGTTCTGCTCCTTCTCACGGCGGCCAACCCCCCAACCCCCCGTCCCCGCCACCTTCCCCCCACAGCAGTAGCCGCGGGAGGGGCGACGACGGGGGAGGGGGGGGGGAGGATAGAGGGGCGGGCGGCAGAGCTTGCGGCTGGCGCTGGCGGTTGTGGCGGCTGGCTTTGGTGCCGGTGCTGGCGTTGGTGGTTAGCGTCGGTGCGACGGCCGCCACCCCTTTCCCCCCTTCCACCCCCCCAC